ATTAATTTGGATGACAGCTGATATTGGTTGAATGTTTGATATAAAAAGTTAGACAATTTATAAATAGTCTAAAACTAAATCTTAATGCTATGGATTAGAGTCTAAATACTCAAAAACCACTCAATTTAAAGTCGCGCCTAAGTATAGTTCTGTCTCTACAAATTCTCTGTAAAATGACAGAGATGGCACGATATTTAAGTACAACTTGACGTTGCGTAGCCTTTCAGTGATCGGACATAGGCACATAGTTATTATACACATTCGCATATATAATGAAACAGTTTATTAACTGTAACGCTAGGTTAATATCATAATAGGGTAGATGACTAATTTTCATTTTAATGTCCGTCTGGTAGATTATTTAAAAACATTAGACACATTTTTTTTATTTTACGGAAACGAATGGTTTCGAAGATATATTAATTTGAAATGTCGCGTGACGTCACTTCTATATACATTTTACACGTAGAAATGACGTTTTAGCCCCCACTCCTAAACTTTGATTCGTTATACATATCTAAGTATCATTTTATTATACAACAAAATAAAAAAAAATACTTGTCTAATATTTTGTCATTACCTAACTGACGGACTAATTACATTTTTAATTTTCATACCCTGTCATCATCCATATTTTCTAAGAAATCGTCTTACCAATTTGTTGTCATAATAGTTTTAAAAGACTGCGTGGTCTTCTACACATAACATAACACGTGTAGAAGACCATGCTATGTTATGTTTAGAAGACCGTCTGTATAAAATGTGCATGGTCTTCTAAATATAAGCAAATAATTTTTACCAACAAAATAAAGAAACCAAAGTAAGTAGATACTTGGTATACATACCCCAAAAATGTCCATATCAATAAATCTATTGTTTATTCAATATTCATTGATATCGTTCGATCTGATAAATTCGAAGGCACAAGAAAACTCCAGACGAAATATCTGAACCACTATTTAGAACATAAAGTTTTACGATCAGTATATGTATGACTAGCTTATAAAACTGCGTTAACGATCGTGGAAATTCAAATTCCTAGCATATTTAGTTCTGCCAGAATTTTTATTGTTAGCTCAAGGATACCCAGGTAGCTATTGCTTGGGAAATGATGGTAGTTACAATTTTATTCGGATTAGCCCTAATGGCCCGTACTTGAGGCTAGATTGAGGTACGAATGTTACATAATTTAGTTTTATTTTGTATGTAATGTAATGATATTATTGTGTGTAATTATGTTGTTATGAATATAGGACTTTATGCGTAAAAAGTTATTGGTCTGTGTGCCGTTAGGTATAGATACATTTTTCTTATATTATTATAATGTTAGTTATGCGATCACTTTGAAATTGCTGCTTTCTTTAGTCGCATGTTACAGATAAGCAACAACATACCGATTTGATTAAAGAATAATTGATTGATAAGTCTTTAACTTGTACATTGTATGCGGATGAAGTGAACAAGAGTAACGATCGAGTTTCTTGCTCATTATTCTCCATTCAAAACTACACTTTGGAATGAGCGCTTAGCTTCACAGATAGATAGGCGGATGGACAATTAATTTTTTTACGTTTCAAAAGTGCCTAATTAAGAATTAACCTCTTGATTGCCGGTATATAAGACACAAGATAAAATAAATTGTGTCTCGCGTGGTTCTGCATTCCGACACACGACGCGTCAATTAAAATCAATGCTTTTGACTTTGTGCAATAATCTTATACTATTACATAAAGTGGAAGAGTGTGTTTTTGTTTGTTTGTTTGAACGCGCTAATATCCGTAACTACAAGTCTGATTTGAATAATTTTATTTTTGTGTTGGATAGCGTTTATCGAGGATGGATATAAGCTATAAAACATCACGCTGTATGTCATCACCAATAGGAGCTGAGCAGAGCATGTGAAACCGTGCGGAAGTAGCTAGTAAAGTAATAAAATCTCTTATTTGAGTTCCCTTGAGACTACTATTTATTAACTCGTCGAGTACCGGTTTTATAGACACAATTAAAGAACAATAGGTCGCGATGACCGGTGACCGCTTGGTGTTTGACAGTTTAATCACCATTATCTGCCAAAAATTAGATGCTACATACGTCCACAATAGGTCTAACCTTTCGATACATTGAGTTTATTAATTCCTAATGCATATTAAGGACAAACTACGAAGTTTTTACGCGAGGCAAAGTTTGAGACTGCCTCATTAGCTTGGAACCTAAGTTTGTAGAAACCATTTTCGGCTCGAACAGAGGCTTAATTAAAGGAGTTCTCGATCAACTAATGTTCAATACTAGTATGAAGTTTGGAATTATGATCAGTATTTAGAAATAGTTTCGCTTTGTTCTTTATATTAGACGCATAATGTATATGGCTGATAGTTGGTATTATATTTTAAATATGAATTTCTGTGTAAATATCTTTAATACATCTTAAATGACCTTCTTACATCACGGTACATGTTTAACAGTATCAATATGAAAACTGACCTTAAGGTAATTTCTGTTAATTCTTTCTAAAGATATGGTGTTGATTTTCTTCGACTATTCATACTGTCGCTCTTGACAGTGTGACTGGCCGACCCAGTAAACCTGTATACTTATAAGAACTTTCTGTTTGTAGAAAGCTGAAATAGACTTGTGGGTTCCTTGAGAAATACAATGATTCTATGTTTTTCAAAACCTAACATTTCCAAAAATTTTATGTGTGGGAGACCTATGCTTTGGTACGAATGGGCCGGCTCGACCGGAGTGATACCACGGCCTCACAGAAAACCAACGTGAAGCAATGCTTGCGTTGTATTTCGTCATGTGAGTGAGTCTACCGGAGGCCCAATTACCCTCCCCTTCTTAATCTCCCCAATCCCTGAATCCCCAACGATCCTCAAACTCCTAATCACCAAATGGCCGGTAACACACTTGTAACGCCTCTGGTGTTCCAGGCCACGCCGATTGCTTTCCATCAGGTGATCCGTCTGCTCGTTTACCGGCCATATACCATAAAAAAATTACGAATTAACGATATATGGCTTGTGTCTTGTTTCGCATAAAATCTAGCTTTATTGTAGTCTTATAAACTAGGCACAATATAAACTTAACAATAATTGTTCTGCAAGGTACATACATATCAGGTATAATGTATGTTACCTACATTATTGAACATTTACCAACACAATATGCCTGAACGCATACCCGACAATCATCGACCTAATTTAATACTATTAGGTCCGAACAATTCGTAATATCAATTAAACGTAACATCACTCTCAGGGTATTGTTCTTTCACATTATCAGTACTCCAGTCTGAGTTAGGTTCTGAACATTTTCTTTGGTTTGATATTAGATTGGGTTACACAAAGATTCCATTAGTGAACACTTACTTAGTGTTTATGTATTTCGTTAGTGAAGTTCTGTAATTGATTGTCTGTGTACTGTTTTTGTGTGGTGTTTTTTTGTTTATTTATTATTAAGTGAAGTGTCATGTTATTTTTGTATCGAACGTATTAGAGTGGTTGTAAGTGTAATTGTTGAGTGATAAGTCGTTGTTTTGATTCGGTAAACCGTTTAATGAAAGCAATAATTAATCCGTTTTCTGGTACAGCATTTAGCACGAACAAATTAGTTTAGCTCTCTTTTGTTGCATGGAACTTGTAAAAATTGAAGGATATATTTAAAACGAGCTGACCTGGCAAACTTCGTACTGCCTAATATTTTTTTTTCACCTTTCAAACCTTCTCTGGACTTCCATGAACATTTCAAGATTAAAATAAGCCAAATCGTTTCAGTCGTTCTCGAGTTTTAGCGAGACTAACGAACAGCAATTCATTTTTATATATAAGATTTGCAGCTCTGCTTGCACTTTCGGAAGTAAAAAATTTAACATTATGTACGAAAGTTCTGTGAACGTTTCCATAAGAAATCTGCTAGTGTTTCCGAAAACCAAGCGTAATTGTTCGTCGACCCAACCATTTTTTATGCTTACTTACGAGTACTTTTCGTAGGAAATATCTAGCTAATAACTTTGAAACCAGACTGAAATAAAGAGAGACTTAGTTGGCCTTCGTAAATAACTGTAAAGTTAAGATGAAATGAGAGGAAACAGAGTGTAAGTTCAGTACTAACCCTTGGAGTAATAAAGACAGCAACAAAACAATATAAAACACCCTGTAGGAGAGTGCCTACTCAAGAAAATTGACGCCCTTACAAACCCTACCGTTTTCAGCGAGCCTCCAAATGCCGCGTCCTATTTTACATACGGACTAAAGCTGCGGTTTCACTACGAGAAAATATTAGATGGTGTTTTTGAGTCGACTTTTTAGACCATCTGACCACTTTTTGCGTGTTAGAACGGTTGTTTTTGTCTTTTAAATCCCGTAATTGAAAATTATGTTGTATCTTTGTTTACATAACATAACATAACACGCCTTTTATCCCCGAAGGAGTAGGCAGAGGTGCACATTATACCACTGTACAATGTAACACCTACTTTTCACTATTTATGTTATGAGTCCCATCTTATAAGGGGTGAGCCTATTGCCATATACCAGGCACAATTCCAGACTCCATGATACTACTGAGATTTTTTTTAAAACCCAGTAATATTTTGCCCGACCCGGGAATAGAACCCGAGACCCCTTGCCCGGCAGTCGCACTTGCGACCACTCGGCCAACGAGGCAGTCTTTATTTACATTAGGTGTTTTTTTATTTGCGTAGTGCATGTTCGGCGTGTAAACAATTTATATCATTACATTTTAATAGTGAAAAGTAACACCAAAAACAAGGAACAACAGATATCTGCCACGCCTTAATTGTTCTTGCAACTACACATACAACCTGCTTAGCGACAAAAATCACCAGATACATAAAAACATACCTACAACATCATAATACATCTCGCCATTACTCCAAGCACGTGAACACTCAACTTAATACTCAGCTACAGAGGTTATTAACGCATTCTTTTGTTCTAGGAATGATGACCCCTCACCCTCGGGAGTCGGCGTGAGAGATGGCGCGTGCGGCTGCCGTCTGCCTATTCACAGCTCATTTCCTGGGCTGCATTATTGGTAAGCGTTTTTCTTACTAGTGCGTGGGAGGTTTTATTCGGATGCTGGTGTGATAAATGATGTGGTGTTGCTTAGATGTTATGAAGAACACTATTGAATCATTCTTCTTTATATATCTCAGCCTTGTTAGTTAAATTGGTGCTAATTGAAAGTTCAAGGTCAAATGGTTCGATCCATAGATAGGAGAAAGCATTATTGTGTTCAGAATTTTCTATAGCTATAACAGATACGTGATTTGGTTTTGATCCCAAAGTATAATAATTAGGTCAATTTTATCATACATTGATATTAAACATAACATCACGCCTTTTATTCCCGAAGGGGTAGACAGAGGTCCTCATTACGGCACTTATTGCCACTATACAATGTAACACCCACTTTTCACTATTTATGTTATGAGTCCTATGTAATAGGGGGTGAGCCTATTACCATATATACTGTATACTAAGCTACAATTGAGATTTTGTTTTTAAAACACAGTAATACTTTGGCCGATCCAAAATTCAAATCTCTGACCTCTTGCTCAGCAGTCGCCCTTGTGACCACTCGGCCAGCGATGCAGCCATGTTATGTTAGAGTACTCAATACTATGTAGGGAACATAATGTACCTACCTTACTTCCATATGGGTCTCATTTCCTGAAACTTACATGAGTGATATCAGTTTTGAATCTAAAAATGCTCTTACATGGCACGTTTACTTTTCAAGTATGTAAATAATATGATTAATGTTCCAATATCACGTTCCTTTTGCACCGGTTTAGTTCAGAGTTTAATTAAAAATATATTAACAAAATAAGTTTTACAAAAAAAAGAAAAGTAAACATAAAACCTTTCAACATTACGTGTTGTTGAAAACCTTATTTCATTATAAAATATAAGAAATAACAACTACTAAGTAGTTTTTTGGTACCTAATATTTTTTAAGTAAAGGATTACTACAGGTATTATTTTACGAAACTAGGCTAGAGGGAGTAACTTTATACTGACTCAAATAAAAATATTTAACTTTTTTTATGGCATCAGCCGGATAACAAGCAGACTGATCACCTGATGGTAAGCAATCGGCGTCGCCCATGGACACCTGGAACACCAGAGGCGTTACAAGTGCGTTACCGGCTTTTTGGGGGTTAGGAGTTTGAGGATCGTTGGGGATTCAGGGATTAAAGAAATTGGGGAAGAGGAGGGTAATTGGGCCTCCGGTAGCTTGTAACTTGTTGTAGTAACTTGGACTGAACTTTTTATTTTTATTTTACGGGCATAGACCTATGTCTATGCCCGTAAAATAAAGACCGAAGAGTCTACTCAACTAACAAATGTGCTATGCCACAAGTAGGTACACACGGCTATACATCGAGCTTTACATAACCAGTATAATCTGAACGTTAAATGTGCGGAAAGATGATGCGACGCGACACCAGGATACACAGGTCTTGTATAGATTGATGTGTGGCCGTGTGTACAAGTCCAATGTGTGACAATCCAATGCAATATGCAAATGTATTTAAAGGATAATGAATACGCAAAAATGTTTTGATCCTATCAAGACAAAACCAAACAAAGGGCAAACCCTTATCGTGATTGAGAAATACACATTTGTATGCATCGCAACCTATCAAAAAAAATCGTAATGTAAAAACTGAATTCTGAAATTGTGAAGAACTTTCTAGGTTCTTAATATCAGCCACTTGAAACCTTAACATTATATTATGAATATTTTTTTCATAAACTACGATTACAAAATCGACTTCAACCCCTGTTTGTTAAAGTCGGTTAATTAATATACTAAAACCTTCTCCTAAATGTAACAAATACTTTTCTAAAAACCGCACCAAAATCAAAATCAACACACGTACATACAGGTCAAACTCACAATCTCCTTCTTTTTGTGAATTCAGTTAAAAACCGGCGACAAGTCTAATTTCCTGCCCCCATCAAACAAAATTAAAAGACGTATTATTATTCAGTCAATTGAATTCACCACAATTAGCGTCCGTCAAGATTTTATCATTTTTCCATTTGAAACAGGGACAAAAACACGCAATGCAGGTACAATCTATCTACCAGCGACAGTCGGGGACATACATTTTTCATGTGCGTAATAAAATGGGTAAGAGGGCGGGTAGACGGCTGAACGTAAAGAATAGGTGTTGGCTATTAAAAGATTTTTAACCGACTTCAAAAAAAAGGAAGCCTACGTGTGACCTGTATGTTTGTATGTCTGTATGGTTGTGCACTATTATCTCGCGACTAGCCGAATCATTTTCGATGCGGTTTTCAGAAGTGTTTGTTAACACTTAAGAGAAGGTTTTAGTATATTAATTAACAGATCAAACTCGACGTAGTTTATAAAAGAATGCGTTGAAAATATATTATTGAATTTCATTTTCGAAGAGGCCAAAAATATCACCTTGAAATTGTGCCACAATAATGTAAACTCTAACGAAAATAACAATTACTCTGTAAATATATAATTGGAAAATAACACAAAAACAATAATACTGATACAAATAAAATCTCTATTTAATTTTGATATAAAAAATACAATTCACTCATTCACGAAACAAAAACTACAGTACGGCTCTATGCCTCAATTTTATGTTGGTTTTAAGTCACCAAAATGACGACCTACTACTGCTGAAAATAAAGTACTATCACGTGCTTCAATCCAAGCATAACTATAACCGTACCGAACATACCTCAAAGACACATAAAAAATAAATCTAATAATAACTTTTCCTTCACATTCAAGAGTCTATCACAAATCTCTCGTCTACGCCCAACGGCTCTTCTGTATATCTCTCAACAGCAATAAAGTCTCAGTAAATTCGTCCAACAAAGCTGAGGGATCATAATTTAAAATTTACCACTTAATCAAGCCACAGCTGACAATCATGATTTACGTCCCTTCTGTGGACGTTTCATTTTCTACTCAATTACTTTCTCCTGGTCTTTAGGAGATAATGCGATTAATTTTTAATTTGATCAGGGGGCTCTATTAATCTGCTGGGGTTTGCAGAAATTCAGGGATTAATTAATTGTGCATTTTTTATTTTATTGCTGATTAATTTTGTCGTTGATTCTCGGATTTATTGTTCAGACTGATGATAAAAAATAATATTAATCTATCATTAGATCAGAATCAGATTACAATATATGAAACAAAATAATTATAAATGTCTACATTTACCAAAAACATTAAAGTATTAAGTTTCGACCTAAAATTAAAAATAGTTAATTAAAACTAGACCAAGAATTACTCTCTAATTATAGTTGTGGTCCCTAAGCTAACAAAAACTGTTGTTTTTATATAATATTAGCTCCGTGACCGCCCACGACCTCGTCCCGGAATAAAATGTGTTAATCCAAGTCGAGTTCTCTGCCAAATTTAAATTAAATCGGTTTTTACTTGAAAGATTAATTAACACCGCGTTTACTGTATTTATATTTCTATAGATATATATTTCATTATCTTAGTACATTGAAAGAAATTATTTGTGAGTTTGAACACAAATTTGGAAGCATAGGACCTTTGCTTTGACCTTGGGTCCGACCCTAAGTTCATTATCAGGACGCACAACTTATAACTCGATTTTGTAATTGTCAAAACTGGTTAATTGACTCTGGGGTAGAATTTTTTGTTATACATATTCCTACCTTTTACATTTTTAACCACTTCACAAAAAAGAAGGTGTTCTTTAACCTAACTCCATATAAATCTTTAAGGGAAAACTGAGTGAGGAACTATGGGTGTTAACTAATATTATAATTGTTAAAGTTTGTATGTTTCTTTTACTCCTTCATATCACAACAGCTGAACGGATCGAGATAAAATTAGGAACAAGGGTATATTACGGTTTAGAATAACATATACTTAGACTACTTTATATCTTACGAGAATGCGGGTGAGGCCGCTGGCAGAGACTAGTATGAAATAAGAAATTAGAAGTTAAAAATAATGTTGTACAACATCTATAATAATCTATATATATAAAAAAAGTCGTGTTAGTTACACTATTTATAACTCAAGAACGCCTCAATCGATTTAGATGAAAATCGGCTAGGAGGTAGCCTAGAACCAGGAGACGGACATAGGATACTTTTATACAGTACCTACTTTTTTTACTTTTTACCGAAAATCACGAACGGGAACGGGGGAAAATGGGATTGCGCGTACGAAGTCGCGGGCAGAACCTAGTAAGAAAATAAAAGTTAAAAATAATGTTGTACAACATTATTTATAATAATAAAATATAGTTGTAGTATATTATTATGTATGTGAGTAACGTTAAACTGAATAATATATTATATTGTAATACAAATCTTCACTTCACCAAACAATATTTGGCAGAATTTCATGAAGAATTTCTTCTTTGTTGATCGAACGTGTTTTGTTTTCTTGTTTGATAAGACGGTTGTGGAATGAATAATTAATGATGATATTGCTATATTCGAGGTTGTTTCATCAAAGCAACGGTATGCTACCTGCTTTATTGATCTAGCTAGATTGTATCATCAACAGCCTATAAATGCCTACTGCTGAGCAAAGCCTCTTCTCACACGGAGAAGGTTATTGAGAATTAATCAACACGCTTGCTTAATGCGGGTTGGCGATTACAAATTTATACTTAGAAATTATAAGCCCAGGTTTCCTCACAATGTTTTCCTTGACCGTTTGTCAGTGGTGTCTAAATAATCTTAGAAAGTAAATATAACTTGGAAAAAATCACATTGGTACTTGCCGTTGGTGGGTTTCGAACCCGTATCCTCATGCGTGAGAAGCGGGCGTCTTAAACCTGGGCCACCACGACATTGTAGATAGAGCTAGATTGTATACGACTACTAATCACACGAAATGTTTACATAATGAAATAGTTCTCAATGATTTGATTAGGTCATTGAACTTGACCTTGAGTTCGTTTATGACTGTCAGATAATAAAAACTATCCTCATTTCATTTTAAAACAATATTACCTAATACAACACCCTTACCTACCTTTTTTGGTAATTTCGGCATAATTCTATAATTATATCACGCCACGCCATTGTAAACTATTGTCAGTTTAATTATACTTGTCTGTTGACAGAGTAATGAGGTTCGCGTGATAAAATGTTTTTTCATTAAACATGCCCTGTACGCTTTTACTCGTTGAAATTATATGAAAGTACGTATATTCATACCTTAGAGGATAGTACTGCAGTGTTACGCAGCGAATGTTCTGTTATGATCTCGTAGCGCTACGTAGGCGTGACGTCAGCTGCTACGCGTCGTAGCGGCTACGAGCTACGACGCGGATAAATTAATGTCTTTACTCTACGTTTTAATTATGTTCTTAATAGTGAAATAGTTACTTAGTAGTAATAATAGTTAGTTAGTTAATAGTTACCACATTCGTAAATATTTTACATTAATGAATATTGAAAATAAATATATCATTTGAACCTGGAGAAGACGACAACATTTTCAATATTAAGAACTTCCTATATTATTTATGACCGGATCTTAGCCCGTCAAGTTTATTTAGCACTTCATAGTAAAGTTCAAGGTGAATTAAATTCTATAGAAACAAAAACGATAAACAGTTCGATGAAAACTTAATACTTTTCATTAATAAATACTTTATAGGTCAATGTCTGTATACAACAATAACTATCAAATACGATCGTTTTAACTTTAGTTACGATTCGACTGCACAGTTGGTGCGATGGCTGGGCAACTGGCTGCAACGTGTCGCGGGTTCGATTCCCGCACGGAACAACTCATTGTGTGATCCACAGATTGTTGTTCCGAGTCTGGGTGTCATGTGTATGTGAAATTGTATGTTTGTAAACGTACCCACAACACAGGAGAAAATACTAGTGTGGGGCAACGCTTTAAAAAAAAACGATTTATACATTAATACATTTTTAAATCTGATTTTAAATCCATAAATTCTATTTATGCTAACTTTATTTAAATACGTCCCTTATTTCGCCTTAAGCTCCTGCAATTATTACTAAAGCAATAAAAAATCATTCATTTCAATATCGTTCAGAACCATTCAACCATTCGTTCGTTCATTCTTTTGATCTACTTCTTTCGAGGAACGATTGCTGTTTGACCTTTATGGAGCGCAAGAAACCATAATTGCAGCAAAAAGCTGTTCATTCGAAATGACTTCAGAGCCATTCGAATAAATTGATCCAGGATTTATTTCTTAATTTTCTATAAAATATTTTCTTGATTTAATATTTTGTAAATGTGTGCTAAATTTTTAAATTATTTGGTATTGTTTACTTCTTTTTTCTCGATGTCGGTTCCACTATTAAAAATGATAAACTGGGTTTTATAAATAAGTCAACAGTATCGGTTTTTGGAATTTAAACATAAGCAAGTGTAAACACTTTTGTTGTATGTTTATTGTTGTTGTATATACTACTGAGAACTTGTTTTTTAAATTGTAGTAATAATTTTCCAGACCAGGGAATCGAACTCGAGACCCTTTGCCTGGCAGTCACACTTGCGATCACTTGGCCAATGAGGCAATCTATCAGTATAAATCTACTAAATTAATATAACATAACATTACGTCTTTAATCCCCGGTAGGCAGAGGTGTACATTATGCCACTGTACAATATAACACCAACTTTTCACTATTTATGAGTCCTATGTAATAGGGGGTGAGCCTATTGCCATATACCGGACATAATTCCAGACTCCATGCTACTACTGAGAATTTTTTAAAAACCCAGTATTTATTACTTTTACTGACCTAATCGAACCCGAGATCCCTTGCCCGGCAGTCACACTTGCGACCACTCGGAGACAGTTTATCTACTAAATTCTGTACCCTAAATATTCCATAACCACAATTACATAACGTAAACAACATCAATGATTATAATTCCAAGCAGACGCAAGTAAGCAAAGCACAAAGTACATTCAATAACAAAAACGATTTTGTCCACAGTATGCCGTCAAGACAGCACCAACAACCGGCCACGAGACCAGAGTACTGTCTCGGAATCATCTAGAAGATTTAGAACAGAGTTCCTCGAAGACTGGCCACAAACACCCGGAGCTCCATACTTTGACCCTAGTACTCCTGAAAATGTGACCGGCCTAGTTGGACACCCAGTCACACTGTTATGCAAAGTTAAGAATCTACAAAATAGAACTGTAAGTAGTTTAGTGTAATGTCTATAATTGTTTGTTTTTATTGTGAGCCCCAAAACTAAATCAATTTTCAGAATGCCAAAGTTCAGTTTCGCTTAAAAAAAATTGTTGGTACTCAAAGTAAAAGTCAAAATCATTTATTTCAATTATTAGACCAGAAAGGCACTTTTGAACGTCAACAATAAAAATTTAGAAGTGAAGCTAGTTGCTCATTCCAAGGTGTAGATTCCTTTAGAGAAAAACTCAATCTTCTTGATCTATTATATAAATCTTTTGAATTATGAATAAATTTTATTATTATTATTATAATCTGTGATCCCCAATTTGCTTACCGACTATTCATTACGGAAACTTACATGAAAAACATAATTGCTTACCATCAGGCGAGATGGTGGTCAAACGTCGACCTATAAAGTATAAAAAAACTCTTCTTTTCTTTTTCTCTTTCTTCTATTTGTTCTGTCTTTCTTTTCTTGCCTTTGTTTATCAGTACGAAATCTATAATCCAATTCATGAGGATGTTGCTGATGGATAATGTGGACATAAACAGCTAATAAACTTTTCGGCGATTCCAAGGTGAACTTTGAATGAAGAATCAGTTATCACGAATGCATTGAAGTCTATTCCAAAGTCTATACCAGTTATTGGCAGTTTAATGTACTAAATGATCGGTCTATTGAGTCAAGACAAAGTTGGACCTAGAAATTAATTGGCTCTAATGTTTCGTGGTAATGTTTGCAAGAGTTTTGACATAAGTATCGTATTCTGATTTTGATTGCGTGTCTGTTTTTGATTTGCTTTGTTTGATTAATTAAATTGTATGTAAAGTATGTGCGAACTATAGAATTAATATTCGATTTATGTAATAATATGCATCTACGATGAAGCGGTTGAAAACTGTAAAAATTAAAGTTTTGGGCAATTCTCTATATGAATTCAGTTTTAGCTCTTATGGACTCTGGAACTATCTAATTATAAAGACTATCAAAGATTTAATAATTGTAGTCTTCAAAGTTAAAATTCTTTTATAAAACGTGTCTATTATCACGTTGGAGCCATTACGCAGACGTTTCTGTTCATCAGTCACTGTACAATAGTGGCATTAAGTGGCGTAATGTACACTTCTGCCTACCCCTTCGGAGATAAAAGGCGTGATGCTATGTTATGTTCTGTCATCTAAGCAAAATTTGATTTTTTCTAATCACAACTTTTCTTTTCTTTCTTTTCTTTTCTTTTTTTTTAAAAACTTTGCCCCACACTAGGAATTTCTCCTGTGTCGTGGGTGCGTTTACAAACATACAAGTTCACATACACAAAGACACCCAGACCCGAAACAACAATTTGTGGATCACACAAAGTGTTGTCCCGTGCGGGAATCGAACCCACGACACGTTGCACGGCAGCCGGTTACCCAGCCACCGCACCAACCGTGCAGTCAACTGATCTACAAAAATGATTTAAAAATAGAATGAAAGTAATAAAAGAAAAATAGTAAAATCACAAGGCATAGAAACCTGCGACTACAAAATTTTGAAAATTAAATCATGAATAAATGTTTGTATTTCTGAGTTCAAACCGCAATTTGCTTCTGAAAAGGTCAAGACAAAGAACTAGAGAACAATTATATTATTACTTCATGTAAATGGGACTCAAACTTTAGAAGGTTGTGACTTTCAATACTATTGTCATCGCTACAAGTTTAGTTACATTTAGTACTACGAATAGCTATTTTCTTGTTATCATAGTTCGACCCATCTCAAATAAGTTAGACAGGCCAATCCAGTGGATTAGTTATCGCGATTCCATTTTGATTAACCTAACTGTATGCTAAGGTTAGTCTGTGAGTTTAGTGTACTTCAAATATGTACGTTTTGATTAGAAACTTGAGTGTTATTCGATGTTTGCATTTCTTTGATGTTCTATTATGTGATTGGAAATTAGGTTTTTATATACTTACTTTTGATGGTGGTGTACGTCAACATGTTAAACATCGCGTCCGTTACCAGTGACAGATACGTCACGGTGGCGGTTAGCGAAAAATTTGCTTTCTGTGGTTTTCTGTAGACAATCAAAATGTTTATTTCTTGAGTGCACAATTTATGATTTATATTGCCATTTGCATTTAACAAACGTATGAGAAGTTACCGTAGCACATTATTATAATAATTATTTTTTATTGTACAGGTATCATGGGTACGTCACCGCGACATCCACCTACTGACAGTGGGCCGCTACACGTACACGTCGGACCAGCGCTTCGAGGCGCAGCACAAGCCGCGCTCCGAGGAGTGGGCGCTGCGCATCCGTAGCCCGCAGCGCCGTGACTCCGGCCAGTACGAGTGCCAGATATCTACCACACCGCCAATAGGACACGCTGTACATCTTAATATTGTAGGTCAGTAGATGACAATTACAGTAGTAGGTACCCTAGTTTTCCGTCATCAAAGTAGATATTCTTGTTCAAAATGGGTAGTACTAGTACAAAGTTCTAAAGTTACACTAGACCTAATATTATAATTCCTATCTTTCTTAGGCAAGGTCAAGTCAAAAGACCTTTTTATAAGAATCACGTAGACACTCATATTAGAGGTATATCAGAAGTTAATTTACTAGTTCTTAATTTAGTTTCTCTATGTAGCTAAGAAAGTAGTACCGTAGTAATGCCTCTTATATCCTTATACTTAACCATACTATTCTTAGAATTATACTAATCATAAGTAGATCTTTGTTTGGTAGTAAAATGTAACAAACTTTAAAAAGTTAGTACCACATGTGGTAAAAATAGATACAATACATGTTACTTATTATGTTTTCGGCTAATTCACGTAACAGTTTGATGAGGAACTCGACAAATTTTAAGCAATGCCATTAGCTCATATTTATGACCAGCATGGTCGCTGCTACTGGCTGCTTGAGTCAGCTGCGGTGCGGGCCCAACGCACCCTGTGTCGTGATGCCGTTTGGAGCGGCCGAAAATAGTTGAGTTCCTCGTCAAACTGTTACGTGATTGAGCCGAAAACATTATAATTAATAAGTATGTCTCACAAAAGTTTTAATATAAAAATACATTTTATTTAAAAAAAAAAATGCAAATGAAAAAAATGAAAATATCCTTTTATTATTGTTATTTGTGATTACATTAGGTGATCTTGGTTGGGGACTTCTTTTAAGCAAGATTTCCCTGTGTTAGGAGACCCCGCTCCTTCTTAGACATTTTTACAAAATTAACAATAACAGTGGGTATACAATTAAAAAAGTAAAAAGAAAAGTAATTCATCATAAAATACATAATGTGAATTATATGTCACATAAATAACTATAAAATTATCCACAAACTGTAATAAAATATTATCACGATAAGCCCTCCTGTAGACACGGAGTGTTTTGTAGACGACAGAGGGGTAACGTTTGTCGATGACTGCCGCTGACGTGCCAACGGGGGGTAAGCGCAGTTGACGTATTTATTTACCGTCAGCAGCAAAATGACGCTCATCACAGAACTGTAGCACTAATTATGTCTTTCCGGCAGGCAAGTTGCAAATAAGGACGAAACTGATTGCAGCTAATTTATTGAAATAAAATTGCAGACAAATATTATTATTAAAGTAACTCCTGGTGGAAGTTGGAGATAAAAGTTTCGTGTATTCAAGATAATGATGTCGTTTTTCGGTCCATCACTTTGTAAGACACGCTCGGCTGATGCAGCAATTTTGCAATAGCTGCACGACGAATCTGCTAATCTGAGGAATCCATGGACTGTTACTATGTATTTTTAACTACTGTTTGTCGAATTTTGAGTGCAGCTTTGAAAAGAGTGCGTTGATTTTTGATATCAGTTACTTAAAACATATGCAATAACTACTGAAAAGTAGGTGACACATTTTTCCATCACCTACTTTTCCCCTTTAGTACTAAAGGTGACAAGATATATTTTATAACGCGAACACTAAAGCGAACAAGAACTTTATCTCAAGGATTTGCAGTGTTTACAACCCATACGAGTATTAAACATCTTGTTTTCGTCCACTAAAACATAATCACGGCCATGAATAACTAGAACACTAATTCCCACTTCCAGTCGTTTCAAAATACTTACCCGCATGCATTCCTATTTGGATACGTTCCAATTACAGAGAATGAAGTCCATTCAAACTTGGAATCGACCGCCAAATTCAGGGCCATTCGAAACTGTCCGAAGATTGTAACAAGTTGCGGAATTGTACCATATTTTTCGCAAGGATCTAGAAAATATTTTTGCAGCCAATAGACGTCTGTGAATTGGAGAATTTCTTGGCTTTAAACTTGAATTCGACACAAATAGCCTGATGTCACGGTTTATCGCGGATATAGATGGGACGTAAGCTTAAAAAAGAAAGGATAGGATTTTATTTTGGTCACACAAAAATATTCGTATCTTTGCGCCAATCGCAATTTTTATTTGAAGCTTATACATAGTATGTAGATTTCAAAACAATCCTTTTATACTCTTTCAAAGGATAACACGATGGAGTTAAATTATGCTAATTTACATCAGATTTACAGGATGAATATCTGATATATTTTATCCATTACTGCCATTTTTAACCGACTCCGAAAAGAAAATAAAAGAGGTTCTCAGTTTCACCTGTGTTTTTATGCGCGATTATTTCGTGATTGGTGGAACCGATTTTAATGCGGTTTTCAGAAAAGTATTTATTACATTAAGGAGCAGATTATTAATTGACTGACTTTAAAAAAAGAGGTTGTCGAAGTCGTTTCTTTTAAACGTAGTTTTTATGAAAAAAAATATATTATTGTTTAGTTGATAGATACAAGTAAGCTCTTTTTACTCTTTCCATGAATTTTACTCTCATCATTATCATCATCATCAACAGCCTATAAATGCCCACTGCTGAGCAAAGCCTCTTCACACACGGAAAGGGTTTGAGTATTATTCACCACGCTTGCTCAATGCGGGTTGGCGATTTCAAACTTATAATTAGAAACTGTAAGTCCAGGTTTCCTCAAGATATTTTTCCTTCACCGTTTGTCAGTGGTGTCTAAATAATCTTAGAAAGTACATATAACTAGGACAAAGTCACATTGATACTTGTCGTTGGTAGGTTTCTAACCCGCACGCTCATGCATGAGAAGCGGGCCTCTTAAACCTCCGGGCCACCTCGACACGAATTTTGCTATTTACTAGATAGGGCTATAGACTTGTAATTTACACGTTTATTCTGTCACATTGTTGTTTTAGTATTATTTAATTCGATATTAAAGTTGTAACGTTGTTTGTTTGCGCTTAGTTGGAAAATGGTGACTCGATATTGTTTTAGGTTATCGAAAGTTTGTTTTGTGGAAAGGTTTGTGTTATATTTCGTGTTTCTGTTTATTTTATTGTTACTAAGCATAGTATAAAATTTCGAAGAAGTTTTTAGCTTAATTGTAAATGTAGAATATCGATATCGGGTATTATGTTTTAATTAATGTTAAAATCAAAATTATAATTACAAATAACGATACACTGAGGACTTCTTCATTGGCCGAATGATCGGGCAAGGGGTTTCGGGTTCTATTTCTGGGTCAGGCATAGTATTACTAGGTTTTAAAAATATTCTGAGTCGTATGAAATTGTGCCCAGTATATGGCAATAGGCTCACCTTCATATTAGATGGGACTCATAACATAAATAGTAAAAAAGAGTGTTACATTGTACAGGCTTTAAGTGCCATAATGTGCTCCTCTTTCCCCTTTCGGAAATAAAGTGATGTAATGTCATAACGTGATGAATGATATATCAATAGATTTTCTATTGAACAATTGCGCATTATTTCAGGTCTAAGTGTTATAAGATCCGGCAACCACGGCAGGGGGGGGGGGCCTGTCGTGGGAAGTCCAAGAGGATATCCATCGCGTTATAAAAAAAAACCTTAAATAATAAATGGACAATCCATTAGAATTTGAACTACATTCACTGAGGTTCAACAATAGTCTCATAATAAAAATCTAAAAATAACCGCAACAAATCCCTACGTTCATTTATTGATAATATTCCTTTGAAAGTTCCCTCTATTCATTCTCAAGTCTCAATTTACCGGTTTTTACATCGTGTCACAGTAACCTTGACTTATAGAAGCCGTAAAAATCTAGACGTACTTGCTACAATGGGTACCATTCACGCCTTCATAATTCCTTCAAAGGGTTTGTAAAGAAAAGGTTCTGAGTAGTTACTAAAGAAATGTCCTTTTTGCCTTTCTGTCTGATGTGTAATGGAACCTTTATGTTAAGGAACAGATGTCTCGTAAAATGTCAAAATTTTCTTCGAAGTAAATGAAGCAAAATTTCATGGCATCTATTTTTTGTTAAGGGTTAGACTACACCCGTCACTGTTATTGCTTTTTTGTGCGTGACGTCTTATGTAGTTTAGTATATATAGTATAGAGGTGTTTGACTGTTTCTATTTTGGAATTTGTTACTCAAGGCTCATTTTTTTTCCTGTGTCTCAAATTTTTGTCCTGTGTCGTGGGTGCGTTTAAAAACATACAAGTTCACATACACATGACACCTAGATGTTGAAAGAGTTGCTCCGTGCGGGAATCGAACCCACTACATGTTGCACGGCAGCCGGTTGCTAGCCACCACGCCAATCGTTCAGTCAAATTGGGTCACTAGTAGTGAAGATAACAAATTGTGTGTGTGTACTTAGACATTTTTTTTTAGAGTATGCCGAAGGAAACTGATCTTACCGTATCAAATCACTAGTGTACTGACTAACTCTGACATATGTCCAATGTAAGGCAGTAACAACCAAAATTGATATTTCGATAATTCTTTTATGAACTACGTTTTAAAAAAAATTAAAGTTATTCCACTCTTTATTGAAGTCGGTTACTTCAAAAAAGAGGGGGATAACTTTAATTTTTTTTATATATATACTGAAAGTTTCTCCTAAGTGATACGAACACTTTTCTGGAAACCGCATTAAAATAGGTACAAACATACATATAGGTCGAACTTAGAACATAAATATTTTGAATTTGGTTAAAAAGATGGGTGAGTTTAAACACTTTCAAATAAATATAAAACATAATATTGTCAATTTACAAACTCACCTCGAATAAAATTCAACCCACCAGAAACCATGTATTTCTAAAATAAAATTTATCTGTAAACTTAGCTGCATTCTGTGTGAAGTTTTGAGAATAGTCTTAGTTTTATTTGTTTAGGGAATAAGACAGGTACAGTACTGGGTTACAGAGGATATTTTAGAAGCTTAGTAACTGGAGATACGACGTGAAAACTCTTTTATTTTCTGCTGACAGTCTTGCTACTTCGTTTGCGGGATTAAAGTTTGGATTAGTTATTGGAGGACATACATTTTCAATTGTGTAAAGTTCTGTGAAATAGTTTTCTTTGTAAAATCTTTAGTAGTTTTGGAGAGCTATTGCGGTAGTCCAAATACTGAGTCCTTTCTTTAGTCAAACTCCTGGCTTTGTCAAAAGTTAAAATTTATTTATTTCAATAAGGTCAGAAAGGCACATTTGAACGTCAATAAAAAAAAAAAAAAGTGAAGTTATTCGCTCATTTAAAAACAATATTCGCAGTTGTAGCATGGATTTTAAAATTTTTGGTGCTTTTACGATTTTCGCCTATTATTTTTATAAAGCATGTTGGGTTTTCTGTTTTAAAACTTTAAATGGTAATTTAAGCTATACATACACATCGATATATATATAAATAAATGTCGTGTTAGTTACACCATTTACAGTTCAAGAACAGCTAAATCAATTTGGCTGAAAATTATATTGGTGGAAAGGCAGCTTAGAACCAGGAAACGAACAAAGTATACTCTTTAACCAAGGATTTCTCGGAAATCTTACGAGACCAGGAAAATACAGGATTCTGCGTACAAAGTCGCGGGCAGAAGCTAGCTAGCTAGCTACATTACGCAGTAGGATCAGAATGTCAAAACAATGTAAAACTATATTCAAGTAGACATAGGTTTAGAACTTATATCTAATTATAATAACCTCTATTCATTAAACATGTGTATTCAACAATGTATTCTCATGTAACCATTGTCCACAGAACCCGAGACAGAGATCATGGGAGGTCCAGACCTGTTCATTTACGCGGGGTCTACAATAAACCTGACATGTATTGTCAGACATACTCCAGAACCGCCTAACACTATTAATTGGACGCATCGAGGGAAGGTAAGAAGATAACATGTTAATTTTCTCAAGTTAACTTCAAAAGTTAGTTAAGTTGAACCTTGACTTGTTGAAGATAAGATTCATAATTCGATGTTGATTGTAGTCAACCGGAATGACAACAACTGCAGCCAAAAATGCTACCTTCACGTATAGATATTTGCTTAAACTGAACTGTTTTATATTCGTCATTACAGTAGGTAAATAAATAACGACATTGTAACATACTATAAAAATGTCTATAAACGACACAACTAATCACGTCGACGGCTCCGAAATATTCTGAATCAACTAACAAATATTAAAACTTGCGCTTCAGTTAGTTTAGTTTAGTTAGTACTCATAACTCACACAAAAAGCGCAAGTCAATGTCTCGAAAAATCATTAATTTACTTTATAAACTGTGATAATTATGACCTACCAACATCCATGACAGACAATATAATGACGTAATATATAAAAAATCAAACAAGTAAATAAAGATATTTTTGGCCAAACTTGTAAAGTATTTTTTCCCATAACGTAAATTCAATAATGCGACGTATAAAAATGTAAGTGGTACTTGATTCATTTTTATAATTCACGTAATCGCCGTACACATGTCTATCTAAATGATCTAATCTATATAAATAAAAATAAATTTCCATTCGTTAGTCTCGCTAAAACCCGAAAACGGCTGAACCGATTATGCTCATTTTGGTCTTGGAATGTTCGTGGAAGTTCAGGTAAGGTTTAAAGGATGAGAAAGAGTTACTTTTTCTTGGTAGTATTAACAACTTAAATATAACCAGTCGATCTTCTTATCGCCTTCCTGTAATTAGAAGTATTAAATAATTTACTCAGTATACTTAGGAGCCGTCGAACTTATTAGCGTCTATATTCTCTCTTCCATAGAATTGAAAATTTAATGCATTTTATTTGTAAGCCTTGAAAATACGACAGCGAAATAGAAGTCATAAGGCTAGAAATAAAATGTGATACGAGGAAACTCTTTACGTTATATAAAAGGAAGAAAATGGCTTACTAGCTCTTAGTAGAACTAAAAGAATAATTTATAAATGAAAAGAATGGAGTGCCTGTAACTTTTTGTCGGATATTTTTTTTTCAGTTTATACTATTTTGTACTATTATTAGTTATAGGAAAGAATTGAATTCAATAATAGGAACTGCATTTTCGAGATATGATGTAATGTATTTTGTGGGAGAGCTATGTTTTGTAACGGATAGACAGGCTTGTCCAGAGTGATACTTCTGCCTCACAGAAAACCGAAGTGAAACAACGCCTGCGTTGGGTTTCGTCTTGTGAGTGAGATTACCGGAGGCTTAATTACCCCTCTCTCCCTTTCCCAATCCCTGAATCCCCAACAATTTTCTATTTCCTAATATCCAAAAGTCCGGTAACGCACTTGTAATGCGTCTGGTGTTCTAGGTGTCCATGGGCGACGCCGATTGCTTACCATCGGGTGATCCGCTTGCTCGGTTACTGGCTAAACTACTACTAAATGTATTAAATGTCAGAAACTAAAAGAAAACAATGATCGAAACATATTCGACCTCAATTTATAATTAAGATTGTTTTATCGAAAGTTCTTTCTCACAATAAAATAATAATAATTTATGTATTTGTCACCCATATATGAAGTTTCCAGAAGTCAGAATCCATTATTATCAGTCACCCACGTATCATTAATAATGTATTAACAAAGTTTCTATTATTTCTACATCCTACGTTAGTATTCACTTTATTTTCTTTATATTCACTTAAATTTGAGTCGTATTTCCGTTGAAATATAACTGTAACTTTTGAATTTGAAATATTTTTGTGTAAAATTATCGAAGAAAGCTAAAACCAAAAAAAAAAATCACACTACGATCGATAGGAGCCGAGCAGAGCAGTTAGTTAGTTTATTATATTTGTGTAATGAACAAACCGTAACTACAACAATTACTGATCAACAACTAATAATTCTGAGCAATATACGACCCCGTAAAACTTCATTCTAACACCCATAAAAACATCAGATTCCGCGCTAATCCAGCACTTAGTTCAGGAGTTAAGTCCATGAATTTAGTTCTAATTCTATCTAGTGCTTCTAAACGGTCTATTATATGCTACAGAGGCGGAATGCAATTCCCGAATTTGCAATTAGGAGCAAACTCGACGCATCCACATACGATAACCGTGGGGTATTAGGATTAAGTCGATTTTACTCTGAACTATTAACACCAAGTTTTGAATGAATTATACAGAGACTATGCAGTTGTAAACTTGGGTCTTATGGCCACAGAGTATAGAGCAACAGTGGTAGGAAACCGCAAAAGGAATTGGGTTGGGTTCAGAAGGTGGTGGGTAAACATAGGTAATGCTGAATTTGACCGCAGGGGTTGGTGCGGTGGCTAGGCAACCGGCTGCCCCGCAACGTGTTGCGGGTTCGATTCCCGCACGGATCAACTCTTTGTATTATCCACAAATTGTTGTGGATAACACAAAGAGTCGGGTCTGAGTGTCATGTGTATGTGAACTTGCATGTGTGTAAACGTACCCACGACACAGGAGAAAATTGTAGTTTGAAGCAACGTTTATTTTTAATTATAAAAATAATAATTAGTTTTTATACATCCACTCCACCACCAATAACATGGGATTCATGATATAAGTAGTGATAAGTGGATGTTACATTGTACAGTGGCAATAAATGCCGTAATGTGAATCTCCACCTACTTCTTCGGGGATAAATGGTGTGATGTTAAGTTATAAGTCTACATTTCAACAAATCCTCTTCATTTGCTAGATAATAACAATTTAATGTACACAACTGTTTTTGTTACAAAAGTATGGAAGTTGTGGATTAATAATGTTTTCCTTGCACTGGCTTTCAACTACTCCGCATAAGTTCTTGCACCGTTTAATCTCCAACTTGTTTGCCGACTCAACACTTCTAATTTCATACTTGGAGCTAGAACTACTGTGAAACTATAATCATCTTTTATTGTTATGCCAATTGTGAGTGCTATATTCTGGACTTTAAATTTTACAAGTATTATGCTTATAGTTTAGAACGTTTTATATTGAAGGGATTTGGTTACATCTATTATACAATTATAAATATAAGTACAATTGGAGTGGCCGTTTGTTATATTAAAATAACCGCTTTTTACTACATGCATACCAAAATATCATTGTTTTTACAATAACTATCGTGAGACATAATAAATTAACTAAAAATCACGAGTTGCTCACGTGAATATACTGAGAAAAGCTGTACTAGTTTCGAACCACAGAGGGGTTCATCCTTATGAGCAGCGTGCGCGGTCGCGGCGATTAGTAGGCTGCGCTACATCGCCGTGAGTAGTGAGTAACCCGCGATTTTATTTAATCAAAATATCATGTTTTTTTGTCTGTCTGTCTGTTTGTACTGGTTAATCTCAGAAATGAGTAACCCATTTTGCAAGACTTTTATTAGAAGGCAGCTTTATATTGTACTAAGAAGTAAATGAGGCTACTTTTATTTTGTAAATGGGAACAAACTTTTATTCTACGCGAAGGAAGTCGAGGGCTACAGATAGTGTCATTTATTTATTTATTTATTACAGTTACAACGGTTGAGAACAAAAACCAATTAAAGTAACTGGACACATTAATAAAATAAGCAATCAAACAATAAAACTGGAACAAAACATATACAACGAACCAGAAGAGTAAAACTTATTTAAAAAAAAGTGGTAGAATTCATAAGTTCCTCTCGCAGTACTTCAGGCATTCCGTCATATAAAATAGAGATAAGTTATAATTTCTGTTGACATCAAATTACAATAGCAATATTGGCAAAATTTATACTTTACTTGTAGTAGCTTATGTTGCAATTCTCTCTCTATGAAGTGCTTATTAAAAAACAAAGGCGCACCTACCAACTGTAAGTAAAAACCTAAAAATACAAGAATTATAATACAAAATTAGATGAAAATTTAGGAATTCATTTGAATACACACGTCCCTATTTTCATTCCTAGCGAAGTCAGCTAAATGTTCTATGACATTTAACCCTCGTACGCTGCCTGCATTTGAGATTGGCGTATCTTGAAGTGCAGGCGGGTCGTTGGAACAATTACTGGAGTTACTGAACACTTGGGCATTATTTTATATGAGTATTTCTGCCATGCCGGAGCGTTATACAGGAACGTGTTTAATTGTTTTAATTTTTCTATAAGGAAAAGCAGTTTTATTTAACGTTGACGTCGCGGGACTTATCCTGTGAAAGTTGTATTTTTTTTTAAAAAACAGGTGTGACACAAAAAATATATAATATTTTAAATTTCAAATGTATTATTAATTTATAATTATATAAAAATCACAAGTTTATTATTCACTGATAAAATTAATTGTAAATTGAACTAAATTAATTTTACACAAAAATTTAGCATAAATGAATTGAATTTGAACACGTTTATCAATTTGAAGAACAAAACCATTCAGAATTTTGCTAGAATATTCTTATTTATTCTAATAAACTTTAAACGAAGAATGTACTAAACATCATTGAACTTTGACTCACAGTTTCTTACTCTGATTAAAATCTTTACTGCGTAAGAAAATAATATTATCCAAAGAAAGTTCTTTGAGAAGTGCCAACACCTCTGTTTTAGTGGTTTCAAGAAAACTCGTGAACATTATTGAGATCAATTTATAAATTAATTTTATTTTCTTTTGAAAGTTGCTAACGTGAGAGATTCTAGAGATATTGTAGCAAATTAAGTGATTCTTATTTTAACTTGTCTGTTGCCCCTTGCGCTTTTTTAAGAGTTCAAATTTAAGACACAAATAGAAAACAAATAATATTATATTAATTAAATAATCATTGATGTAATGTTTTCAATTTCGAACGCATTTTCCTAATAAAGCGCCCATATTGGTTTAATGAACACGAGCATAAATTTTCTGTCCATCAGAAAAAAAAATAACAATCATAAATTTAAAAACCGAATCGAAAATCCATGTCCAACATCGATCACGCAACAAAATTCGAAAATCAAATCAATTCGAAATTCGAAACACAAATTGAAACCAGTAAATAATTTCGCATTAATCACGTGGAACGGGAAAGCTGTCACCGACGCAACATGCAAATAAGTCTTAACGCGTTTAACGTTTGCCAGTTAGATTAGAAATGTCCTCCTACAGCAGTGTCAGCAAATTGATGGTTTATAACGTTAGTGTTAAAGTTCAAATTTTAGTGCACGTAAGATTTTAAGAGCAGTTCCGAGCATGCAAGGCACACATGCTACTTTTAATATCGGTGACCGACAATTACGTAACTTTGTTAAGCTTTACAGCGTCGATAGAGATTAAATTCGGCTAACGATTATATTGACATGTTATGGTAATTTACTTTTCGGATTATTTTGTTTTACTATAAGCACAGGTGTGCTTCATCCTAACTAATATTATAAATGCGAAAGTAACTCTGTCTGTCTGTCTGTCTGCTACTCTTTCACGCCAAAACTACTGAACGGATTTGAATGAAATTTGGTATACAGATATTCTAGACCCCGAGATAAAACATAGGCTACTTTTTATCGCGAAAAAGGGGTTGTTGTAAGAATAATTATTACGATTTATCTGAAAACCTGAAAACGGATATCTGACAGGTAACATTACTATGGTAACCAACCTGATGATTTGTAATTGTTATGACGTCCTACTTTCATAATATATTTTGGCATCAACATATAAAAATGAAGTTCTGTGGGTTTTCAAGGAATAATATTAGTATTCAGCTGCATCAGGGATCAGGGTTTTTAAAGACAAAATACGAATTCAATTGACTGAATACAATTTATTCATAGACTAGCCTCTGTCTGCGGCTTCTCTCGCGTTCTTTTAATCGGGTGAGGGAAGGATTTACAATAAAAAAATGAAATGATGCACGATTCTATGCTGGTCATAAATAACCCGCATACCAATTGTTAGCTTTCCACATTGAAAATTGCAAAATACCCCATACAAACTTTCACCTCTGTTTCACGTAAGTGGAAGGGGGTTAAAAAACGACAAAAAGTAGCCTATGATACTCTCCATCTTTTCAACTATCTCAAATCAAAAACCTTCCTGACTCCGTTCTGTTGTGAAATACGGACAAACAAACAAACAAGCACATACAAATTTATATTATTAGTATACATTTCTTAAGTCATCTGACATTTGTGTGACAAGTGAGTTTACAAAGTCAATGTGTCATAGATTTTTTTTATACTATGGTATTAATATTAAGGTATGCAAAGAGGTTGACAGCAGTCTAAGGAGATAAAACCACGAATAAAATATTTTCAGTTTACTTGAATTCGTATTTTTTATATGTATATCAAAAAAACTAGCTAAATGCACATAGCTAAAAAATAATATTAGTCCTTTTCATTTTAGACCGTCAAGGCCAAATTCACTATGATAGTTTGCTGTTTGTTTATGGCATAAGCCGGTAAACGAGCAGACGGATCACTGCGCCGCCCATGGACATCTGTAACACCAGAAGTGCTAGAAGTGCGTTACCGGTCTTTTGGGAATTGGTAATTTGAGGATTGTTAGGGATTGGGGGGGCTGGGGGAGGGGTAATTGGGCCTCCGGTAACCTCACTTACACAGCGAAACACTCCTTTAGGTAACCGAGGGCTGGGCTCGCTGTCATTGCAGCGGAAAGTCCCCTCTTTAAAAGTGGCTTTAGAGAGGCCATCAATGCAAGGACCGCCCGGAGAACACGGTGGAGCATACCGTGGCGGTGTACCTTGCATGGGCTGAGCACCGCCGTGTTCTCAGGGATGTAGGAAACGGTGACCTCTCGCGTTCGGCTCTGGTTCAGGCCATGGAGCGAGGGGGATTGGGATGCAGTCGCATCCTTCTGCGAAGCAGTTATGCTTGCCAAGGAGAAAGCGGAGCGTGTGAGGGAATGAACTTCCTCACGCCCCAGCCGTCGCGGGAGACACTCTCACCGGCCACCGTAAGTGCGGGTCTGTAGACGCAGAGCAAGGGTAGCTCGCCACCCGACCAGAACCAGTCCCGTGCATACGGCGCGCGCCTTACAGAGCCATGACACCATCATAGATGGAGCCCAGTAGAGCTGATGCTCGATACGGTGCCGCGGGATGCCTAACGAGTTGACGGGGCTCCGGCTCGACGAGCAGGAGTAGGAACGGAGTGGATTTTAGTCAGAAAGAATCTGTCACTCCCTCTCACCTAACCCAAGGCGGAAGAAGTGATTGGATGATTTTCCGACCTCAAAAAAAATCTCCTTTAGGTAATGACAACCCGATGTGTGAAAAACTACCAAAAAAACTCCTTATATTACTGGTATTGATTACGCTGTGGAAATTATGGACAATAGAGCCAAGGGATGTATTAAGTCTTATAGAGGACATTAATATCAACATTAAAGTACATGTATCATATGTAACTAACCTAATATCAGAATACCTATTTTTTCATTTAAATGTTTGCGATAGTAACGCACGTCGCACCGGTACATATCAAGTCACATTATAGGAGAGAGGAAATCCCAAAATGACGGAAACTATGCGCTAAAAAACCAGGACCAAGGACGTTGAAATAAAGAGGGGCTTTCTTACCTTTTAAACATTGAACCTATTTGGTGAAATTCGGCGCAGCGATAGTTTGAGACCCGGGAAAGGACATCTAAAAGTTTTTAACCCGAAAAACCCACGAAACCGGGAACTGTGCTGTTAAAATCACTATATCTATTTGATTGAAATGCGATACAACATTGATTTGCAAACATAGAATAGTGAAACCTCACGAGACGGGCACTGTACGGGTAAAACCTCTATGGGATTGTTTATTTTAGAAACCACGAAAATAAATTCATTTCTCAATAAATATAACCTAGGTACTGAATCGATTGTGATGATATTTGTTCCAGTTGTACAGCCATAGAATATACCTTGACAAAGACTAATTTAAAAAACCCAATTTATACAGAAGTCGTTATTTCACGCGGACGAAGTCGCGGGTAACAGCTAGTACTAAATAAATTTAAGCATGAGAGAGCCATGCTTCGAATGGGCCGGCTCGACCGTAGTGATACCACGGCCTCACAGAAAACCGACGTGAAGCATCGCTTGCGTTGTGTTTTATTGTGTGAGTGAGGTTACCGGAGGCCCAAATACCCTCTTATTCCCCAATCTCCCCAATTCCTGATTCCCCAACAATCCTCAAACTCCTAATCCCCAAAAGGTCGGTAACGCACTTGTAACGCCTTTGGTGTTCCAGGTGTCAATGGGCGACGCCAAATGCTTACCCTCAGATGATCCGTCTGCTCGTTTACACCGAATGCCCTAAAAAAAAAAAAATACTGGAAGTTTAATACAGTTTGAATATATAAATAATTTCGTTAATAGTTTCGATGAGCGAAATATTATACCATTTTATGTGCAGTATAGCTTAGTATGCCTACTTTGTTAAGTTTAAATGCAATAATATTAAGCCTTTGACTGCTAATAAAAAACTGTTGAAAGCAAATCCTCCGCTATCGTCGGTCACCGGTGACCCCCAAGGCGTTTAACGTGTGAGACTTATTTCGTATGTATTTACATCAATTTTCAGTTTATAGTTGTGAACAATTTCTCTACTGAACTAGAACCACAGTCGACCAACAAAAGTACTTTCCCACAAATAGGTCACAACCTTACATCATGATTTTAACGAGTAACATAAATTGTAGTTACACAGTTGCCATTTAATCCCAGTTTTATGAAGGATGGTTGCAATTGCAATCGTAAAATCGATTCACTTCTTCTGCTAATACTTTGTTGTTTGTACTTTGTATACTTTTTAGTAAAATAGTTTCCATTTTCTTATGTTTATCTGTGTAGTTCATGAAATTAATTTCAAGGTCATTTCTTAAAATCCTTTCACAATATTGCAAGAAAACCATTCATATTCATCAACCGGCTTCAAAAAAAAGAAGGAGGAGGTTCTCAATTAAACTGTATTGCTTTTTAGATTAGGCTTATGCTGATACCAAGAATTAAGTAACATTCCACTTGTCTTGGCAGTGATTGACAATTATAAAAGTCGAACTGATATTATGAACTTTTAAATAATATTCCAACATAAACATAACATTACGCATTTTTATCCCCGAAGGGGTAGACAGAGGTGCACATAACGGCAGTCAATGCCATTGTACAATGTAACACCCACTTTTCACTACTTATGTTATGAGTCCCATGTAATAGGGGGTGATGAGCCTATTGCCATATACGGTGGCACAATCCCAGAATCTGTGCTACTACTGAGATTTTTTAAAAACCCAGTAATACTTTGCCCGACCCGGGAATCGGACCCAAGACCCCATGCCCTGCAGTCGTACTTGCGACCACTCGGCCAACGAGCCAGAAATATTGTCTTCAATTAATTGTTCTACAATACATTTATAAATGCAGTTTTTCTTCTCCAACAGACAATAAACTTCGACTCGACGCGTGGTGGTATATCCTTAGTCACTGAGAAGGGTATACACAGTAGTAGTAGACTACTAGTGCAGTCAGCACGGACGACAGACGCCGGCACGTATCAGTGCGCGCCGGACAACGCTCAGTCAGCGACAGCGAGAGTTCATGTACTAACTGGTAAGTTCTGGAAACTTATATTAATTACGTCTCACATTCCCTAAAGGGTATGAAACTTTGGGCTTTTGTCTAGCCCGAAGGGATGCAGTTACCGTACATCCAGATATTGCCAGTGTTTGAAATCTCATTAACGGTTGAGTGTACTGTCATTAATAACAAGTAATGTTTTGAATTCCATGACGAAACACGAAAGCCCTGTAATATATTGCCCACCCTAGAAATATTGACCTTGAAAACTCGTGTTTGGTAGTCACACATGACATCATTCTATTAAAAATGGTAGTCGTAAGAATGAAGACAATAATCTCGTATTACAACTATGTCACCGTATTATTTCAAAGGCCTCTTCTCAAGAGGTGAAGGTTTGGGTATTAACTCGTCGAGTACCGGTTTTATAGACACAATTAAAGAACAATAGGTCGCGGTCACCGGTGACCGCTTGGTGTTTGACAGTTTAATCACCACACTTGCTCAATGTGGTTTGACGTTTTCAAACAGGTTTCTTCACGATGTTTTCCTTCACCGTTTGTCAGTGGTGTCTAATAATCTTAGAAAGTACATATAACTTGGAAAAAGTCACATTGGTACTTGTATTGGTAAATTTTGAACCCGCACTCTCATGCATGAGAAGGAGGCGTCGTACCTCCGGGTCACCACGACAACATATCTTTATAACATCAAATCACAAATACCGTCATAGCAACAGTCCGAAATAAAAACAATTTGAAAAAAAAATACCTCGAAACAAAAGCATCACTTAACTTACGGTCCCGTGCAGATAGACGGCGATAAATCAGTCCTGTCTTTCTAATTAACGGGCGTCTCAGAACGTCTAGTAGTTCTAATTAGTTACACAGTCGTCAGACATTGTCGCTAGATGGAATTGGTGTGGATTTAATTAGCTGGGATAAACGGACGATCACTTTAATTGTTTACAAACATCTTTGGGTAAATTTTAGTTAAATTGTCATTTGCTTTATTATGTTTGTCACCTTTTTTGTTTAGTGTGAAGCTGGTTCTGACTTTTTTTATGTAGTGAGTCGATTGACCCTTTCGAGGATTCGTCTCAGTCAACGAATACTTTTTACTGAAACTTAGATTAGGGTAGATGCCTAATTTTTATTTTAACGTCCGTCTGGTAGATTATTTAAAAACATTAGACACGTATTTTTTATTTTCTTACAGAAACGAATACTTTCGACGATATATTGATTTGAAATGTCGCGTGACGTCACTTCTATGTACATTTTATACGTAGAAATGATGTTTTAGCTCCCACTCCTAAACTTTAATTCGTTTCATCAAAGTATTGTTCTATTGTACGACAAAATAAAAAAATACGTGTCTAATATTTTTTCATTACCTAACTTACGGACTAATTAAATTTTACATTTTCATACCCTGTCATCCCAATTGTTGTATCTTGTGACTGACAGTCTCCACACTTAGCGGGCACGTTCAAGGTCATAGTTCAAAAAGTTCAGGTTTATCGAAGAGCGCTATTACATAGTCTTTATTATTGTATAGACTTTTAATTGGATTTTACCACACTAGTGGAAAGAGAACACGTAATAACAAAATTTGCCAGAGTCTGTGTTTCCTGAAGGGTATAAGTATACCTGGGAGTCTTTAAGGCCCGAATGAATAGGTTGCTTATGAGCAGATATGCTCCATATTAGGCCGCATCATTGCTTACTACCAGGCAAGATAGTGGCCAATCGTCGGCTTATCAAACATAAAATATATAGGTAATGGTGACGGCAAATCATCATCTATTTTATGTGTGGGAGAGCCATGCTTCGGCACGAATGGACCGGCTCGACTGGAGTGATACCACGGCCTCACAGAAGACCGACGTGAAACAACGTTGTGTTGTGTTTCGTCGTGTGAGTGAGGTTACCGGAAGCCCAATTTCCCTCCCCTTCCCCAATCTCCCCAATTCCTGAATCCCCAACAATCCTCAAACTTCTTATCTTCAAATTGCCGGTAAAGCACTTGTAACGCTTTTTCGCGATTGCTTTCCATCAGGTGATCCGCCTGCTCGTTTATCGGGCTATCCCATATAAAAAAATCTAACAATTCAAATATTTTAATCTAAAACGTTCTGAAACCAATATCTCAGGCGTACAGAAGTATGCCACAATGTAAGTTTTTACAAAGATATCGGTACCTTTCAATGTAGCTACAACTATCCCAACACAGCTACTATTGGTAAACGAAATAAAGTCCAAGTCTCATCAGATATACAATCTCACAGACCACTGACGTGGACCATCAGCTCTGGTCTGTGACGTCAGACTAATGTATTCATTACTTGGTGGCGGCACTGCGCTCGAAATTACAGCATTAGTTCGCTCTGTGTTTGGAATGGTGAACATAAGTGAGACTGTGGTTTCCATGTTGGTCTTGCATTCTGATTACTTGCATTTTGAGGTTAGAAACTGTAGGTGACTGTGTTAGATATAATTTTAGTTATATTTAGTTGGACATTTGGTGTTCAACAATGCCTTCTGGGTCCAATTGAAATAAAAGATTTTGACTTTGACTTTGACTATAATAGCAATGAATATGAGTGATCGATTTTTTATAGATAATCCTATTTAAAACTATGAACAAAGAGATTTGAACGAGTGTCTTATCATGAGATATCAGGAGTTAAGAAGTAAACCAATGAGTTTTGAATTCTCTACTTAAACATATTATAAATCTATACTAATATTATAAAGAGGAAAGATTTGTATTTTTGTATTTTTGTATTTTTGTATGTTTGTAATGAATAAACTCAAAAACTACTGAACCGATTGCAATAATTTTTTCACCATTCGAAAGCTGCATTATTCAGAAGTAACATAGGCTATATAATATCACGCTAGGTCCTATAGTTGTGGAGCAGTAACCAAAAATGTTTTAAAAACGGGGGAAAAGTATCGTTTCTGAGGCCTTCCGTGGCGTGCGCTGAGCATATAGTTAAAGTTATACAAAAATGTTCTATAGATGAATTGTTTATCTTAACATTATTTTTAAAAAAGTCCGCGAGAGCATATGTCTACCTTTTATAGTTTACCCATAACAATCGTTTTAATGAATGGTTCAATCCTTATAAAAGTTTGCTCTAGATAACGTTTGAATTGTTCAATCGGTTACCTTAAGACGCGACATCGACAACGGAGGGCAGGTAGCTAAAAAAAACTGAGAATAAATATAAATAAAACGTAAAACTATGTAAAAAATCTTAAGTCCCCCCGTGCGAAGCCGGGACGGGCCGCTAGTTTTAAATAAGTAAGTTTGATTACCTTTTACGCTGTTTAAAACATTGTTACAATATGCGCATTGCATACTAAATTCTACTTTATTTTCTTATATGAAGATTTACCCGAGATAGGGCCGATGCCAATACGCCCGTAGCCAAGTTTCGTTAAAATTTTGAATTTAAATATTTTTGTTTTGAATTTTAATGGAGTAAACAGGTTCCTGGTCCCGTTGCTTTTATTATTCCTGGCTGAGCATTTATCATTTATTCCCAAAAGGGTAGTCAGAGATGCATATATTAAACACTAGCCTGTTTTTCCGCCATTTCATACTGTTTTATGAGTCCCATGAAAGGAAAAGTGAGTCAACGTGTATTTATTTTTACCATAAATAATTGCTAATTAAATTATTTTAAATTAACATGACATTGACAAGTGATACTTGACATTATTTATTGATACTTAAAAAGTTTAAGGAACATAATAACTACTATATTCTTTAAACTTTTGAACAATTATACAGTAAAAATTGAGACAGTAATAACTTGATTAACCCGTCGTGTGTCTAAACGTGGATCCACGCGAGACACAATGTATTTTCTATTGTGTCTCATATCGGTGCATTCAAGCGGATAATACATAGTTTTATACAAATTATAAAACTTACCTACCTTACTTACCTTTTTATTGCAAGACGGCTAAAACAGCGGAAAAAAATTAAAAACATCGAAATTCCGCCAGTAAGGCGTCAAAGAATTTATTCACATCACTGTCACTGGTGAACGTGTCCAAATGGCAATGCTTATTTGCTGTCTGAAGAAACAGCTTTAGTTTATCTCGGTAAAACTTTAAATTACAATAATTAGCAATATAATATCGTAAAATAATTTAATGAAGTAAACTAACATTAGCAAAATACGTAAACTATCCTATTGACACTTATTCAATATAACCCGCGGTTACAATGGGGCACAAGAGTTATATAATAACAAACACGCTTTTCAAACCATTTCCAAAGGTACTAGTTTCGTGCTTCGTTTAGCATGCAACAGCCATTGTACTCTCTCACCGTTTAGCAACTCGTGCATTTGTTGAATTTTCCTCGCGATCCAAAACTAGAACGTTTCCGTACCGTCACGCATTTGAATCATGAACTGGTTTATGTACTTGCTTAACAGGATAATTAAGCGAACGTTCAAATTGCCGTTAAAGTCGGTTTTTGATTTTAATTTGTGTAACTATATTAGTTAATAAGAGCTTTGTATGTAATTCGGTAATTTCATCTTTATCGATATTACAATAATGTTTTTATTGAATTCATCAATTAAACTGTCAAACACCAAGCGGTCACCGGTGACCGCAACCTATTGTTCTTTAATTGTGTCTATAAATACGGTACTCGACGAGTTAAAGAAGTACACCATTTCGTGTATTTTGATGTTATGATTTTATACGACAGCAAAAATAAATATATTAATAAACAAAACGTCTTAGATTGCTATAAGTTTAACTGATTAAAATATTTATTCACCTCGAAAATCTTCCAAGCCCTGAGAACTACATATTTTTATATTCAATAGTAGGTAACTGATATTAAATGAAGAATTATATCCAATAATAACTGAAATGAAATGAAAAACTATGTCACTCGAGTATGACCCGAGTCGGGCTTCCTATGAGAAGCTCTCGACATTAAGGTAGGTACTATGATGTTTTATGAAGTACAAAGTTCATAACACGGGAACGCTCTAA